TACCACGCGTTGCAGTATCACGCATAGTACTATCACGCGCTGAATTACCACGCGTAGTACTACCACGAGCTGCAGTATTACGCGTAGTATTACCACGCGCTGAAATACCACGTGTAGTACTACCACGCATGGTATTACCACGCGCTGCAGTATCACGCGTAGTACTACCACGCATGGTATTACCACGCGCTGCAGTATCACGCGTGATACTACCACGTGTAGTATTACCACGCGCTGAATCACCACGTGTAGTACTATCACGCATGGTATTACCGCGCACTGCAGTATCACGCGTAGCACTACCACGCGTTGAGTTACACAGCGTATTACTGCGAAGTCTAGTACTGCGCATGGTATTACTACGCGCTGAACTACCACGCATGCTACTACCACGCGTTGCACTATCTCTACCACTTATAATACTGCCATACATTGCATTACCTATCGTGGTATTTCCACCCACCGTGTCGCCACGCACTGTTTCCCCACCCGTATTCACACAGCACATGTATAACAATTTGTTGCATTTTGTTGTATTTTGCCGCAATCCACATCTTTGTTAGATCGACTCTTCTTGATTTGACGTCTGACTTTATTAGACTGACTATCCTTCTTTTGAAATTTCAACAGAATTTATATTTTCCATGGATCGACAGGACTTGATTCTCAAGACGGTTCAGTTTGAGAGCACTTTAATTAAACGTGATTCAACTTTTATGTAAAGATCGATTTGTAATAGACTCATCGTAGCAGAAGGTGAATAGAGTGATTGAATGCAGATCATGGATAAAAATATGTATTGGATGAGATGAATGTAGATATTACGTCGACGTCGTAATATGGATCTCAATAATTGCGAACGTAGCTGTAAGTCATTTTTAAATCAAGTCAACCTCAAGTAAAATTCAAGAATTTCCTTTCAGAGTATTTAGATAATATGACCATCCAAAATATTCATTTTCTACGAATTCATATTCATCACCGTTTCCTAAATAAAATTGACGACTTCAGAAATCGTTAGGATATCTATCGATCACCTAACGAGGCAACAGCCCCGTAAAAGCAGGATCGAGGCACTACGAAGTGGAGCGATGAAATTTTACGAGCGAAGTTGCATTTGCGTTTGAAATCTTCGAAGTGGTTCAATGAATATCGTTATCATTACGATCCATTCGAGAAGGTTTAAACTCCCTATAATTATTGGCCGGAGTATCTACCAATCGTTAGCGACCGCAAAAAGCGGGATCTAATCGTTATTAAACGGAATTAGTATAAAAATTTCAGCTCGGAATGGTCTCCGCTCCGAAATTCTCGACGCGTTTCGATAAATTTCTACTTACCGTTGCTATCGCTATTCCACCCAGTAGGTTTAACGTTTCTGCGATTATCGCGAGGAATATTCATCGAACACCTAACGAGTCGATAATTACCGCTATCGTGGATTTGATACGAAATTTTACGATTGAACTTGTAATTGCATCGAAATCTTCAAAGCGGCTCGATAAATTCTTGGTCGTGTTATCGATTCGCAAAGGCTTCTTGTAATTATCACCTGAAATATGTGTTAATCGTCAACTAGAATCACACCGAAAGTTTCCGGTTAGACACCTAGTTGCATCAAAGTTGTTACAATTAAATTTCATTCATTCGAGATCGTTTTAATCAGAAGCTATCCTGTTATAAAGAATGACTAGTAACAGTTTTTCCTTTAGAAAGGTGCTTCGCCCATGAATCGCTTTTCTGATATCCAAATAACCTTGCTATGTTTTTCTAAGAGTCGGAATCCACGTTTTTCCTTGCTAGTCTGGCTAAAAATATCGCGTGTCAAACCTTGCAACTTGGACAGTATTTAAACTATTAAGCTATCGCGATATCGTTATTGCGTAATCGTGACGATACGCCATGTGACCATTGGCGTAACTAGGATTTTTATCTGCGGTGGACCAGATCTCCTTGCTTTATCGGTGAATGCATAACAGGCAAAACAGTGGCTTTTATAGTCAAGTAAGCAATTTAGGAACATAGGAGGATTTGGAGATATGTGGAGATTTGGGAATGTGGGAGTTTGAGGACGTAAGGATTTGGAGAGTTAGGGATTTGGGGACGTAGCAACTTGGGAACATGTGAGGATTTGGGGTGATAGAGATTTGGGGACATGTGGAGATTTGGGTATGTGGGAATTTGGGGACGTAGGGATTTGGGGAGTTAGGGATTTGGGGAGGTAGCAACTTGGAAACATGTGAGGATTTGGGGTGATAGAGATTTGGGAATGTAGGAATTTGGGGACGTAGAGATTTGAAGAGTTAGGGATTTGGGAACATAGCAACTTGGGAACATGTGAGGATTTGGGGTGATAGAGATTTGGGGATATGTGGAGATTTGGGAATGTGGGAACTTGGGAACGTAGGGACTTGGAGAGATAGGTATTAGGGAACGCGTTGAATTTAGGGTGATAGGGATTTAAGAGTGTTAGAATTTAGATACGTGGAGATTTAGGGTTGTGAGACTTGGGGACCATGATGATCTGGAAACCTAGAAATTTAGAGATGTGTGTTTAGAAACGTGGAAATTCTGAATCTAATTCTCTAAAATACAGTCCCAACCTAACTCTCCTATATACAGCCTTAACCTAACTCTCCACAATTCAATCCTAACCCAACTCTCCAAAATCCTTTCTACACCAATGTACACAACGTTAATCAAAGCAAAGAGTCAGCAGAATTAAAATAATCGGTCCGCTTCCGCAGCCTAAATATACTATTCCAAGTATCGCCGAGCGATTCGATTGCGTGGAAAGCCATGACGCAAAATCGCGCGCGTTATAACGCGTGTTTTCGCGCGATCGCCGCAAATGACCACCGCCTTCGAGTTGGTGCGACGAGGTACGAAGGGCCCGAAGGCGATAAAACCAGTCACGAACATTGTATGCACGCAGGGAAAACATACGATAGCCGATTCTCTAGAATTCTGGTGTACAGCTGTGTGCGTGCATTACACGGAAGCCCGGAACAATGCAATACCATTCATGGTAAAAGAAGAAGCGGTTGAATCACCGTCATCTCGAATTCTACAGGCTTATTCAGACGAGACGTCATTCTGATCGATCGTTTTTCGTCCGATCGTATTTACGCGCGATTAGCTTCTATTTCCTGTGTGAGTTGCTAGTAATTCTATTACTGTTCAATCTTTCGTTAAAAATGATGGTATTTGGACTGAAATGGGTAGGAAATACGTCGACAATTTTAGAGGCTAGTGTAATTTTGTGACTAGTTCGTTTTGAGGCTATCGATGTCAACAAGATTAGACATTTTCATGTGTGTCAATGAGATATTGCTACACGTTGGCGATTACTTCTCTTATTTTATATATAATAGTGTCATATTATAAATACACTCTTATATTATTAAATTTTAAAGGAAACGTAAATATTGATGATTGTTATTTTACATCTATATCTTGTTACATCTTGAATATCTCTAATAGCATCTCGTACATACACGTTCACAAAGAATCAGTCCAGAATAAAAAAATCAAAACAGTCAATCGTTTCCCAAGAAAGTGAAAGATTTTACAGTAGCAAGAGCAAAATACAATACGAAAATTGGAAAGCGATAGTCGAAAGAGGAAATTGCGTAGAATCGGTTGGATAATTTACGGAAGGAACGGTCGCGTATCTGTTGCATACGTTGGCAAAACACAGGACGCTAAGTCGAGCTTTAAAGCTCGAGTGCAGCACGCGGACAACGAAGAACGGGCGTGTTTGCGGTTCCATGGCGGACGTGAACCGAGATAACGCATTAAAATAGTACGCCAACAAACGATAACACGTATTTAGAATATCTGCCGCAGTGTCGTTTCTCGCCGCGATATTAAATCGCGCGCCGCTCTCTCTGTAATTGCAACGATTCAAACGGCCAACACCCTCTTCGTCTTCGCGTCGAGATACCGGAGAAATAGACGAGCGGAAAATCGAGTGTCCGCAAAAATGACCCACGCTTGTCCACAATCTGTGTTGATCTTACCTAAGCAACATGGCAGAGTAACTTTACGGAGAAGATCGTTGATGTTTGAACGCTATATTGCCAGCATGCTGCTGCCAATCTACACTCTTCACGCTTTCAGCCTCGACTTCTGACAGCCACCTGAAATTAAAATTACTGAATTATTTTTACTGAATTATTACTAGGTGTGATTGTAAAATTGTTACGATTCAAGTTTATTGTAATACATAATTCATTTATTCAATTACTCGTTTCAATTCATTTATTCAACCCCTTGCAGAACTTTGACGAATCAGACTCGTGACGCACTTACGGTTAGATACCTCTTATTTGACTATTAAATACATTTCAATTTGAAGTTTAAGTCCAATTATAATTTCTATGGATAAAGACTGCTGAATACAGAGTAGTAAAAATATTTTAATTTTCTGTATAAATTTATAACTAATCATACAACAAGGGGTTAAGCTACTGTGTAGTAATATTGAATATCAAAGTACAGATACATCGAACTAGATCTATAAATTAAAGCGAAATTACAAGTACTAATTATTTGCAAATTTTCTACATCCGCACCTGAAGAGGTTACAGAGCCAGGTCGTTAGACTTATTCTACCCCTGAGCTTTAAATGATCATTTAATAACTTCCAGTCATCATCGATAAGCCAGTGATAATGGAGTTGTCATAAAGAAGATGAGTTAATTAAGTAGAGCCACGTTATAAGAGAAAACCGATACGATAACTTCTTAATTATAGTTCGAAATATTCGTTAATTAACCGGCAAGTGAACTAAAAGGATCGTAAAACCTTCGTGAAGTTATCGAACGATAAACAAACGACTATTTGGTTGAACGTAAAAGGGAAGAAAAAAAAGAATTCCAATCGCGTTTCTCGCCACACGCGAGGTGTAAAAAGCGTCGAAAGTTGTCTAAAAGCATCAGGTATTTCCTAGTATCGAACTGTACTATTTGTGCTTCCTCGAATCGATAGACAACAAGGTGCAAAAAGCGGACTGTTGATCACCCTTGATTAGTCTTGGGCTAATGAAGACTCCGAAGTCATTAGATTATATCTCTCTATTTATTTATTTCAAAACACCTTTGAAATTTCCACTTTTTACAGCAGTTAATAGTAGCCTACACTCTTCTGATTTAATGACAGCAAATTAGGGTTTTCGTAAAAAAGTGCCGTTGACGTTACGGGCAAATGTAATCGCGTCAATTAAGGCGACACTCACGGATTTCTAATCGAGCGGCCCGCTGGCAAACCAGATTATGTCACCTGTTGGCACGCCGACGATTTTAATCGATCGATCCACGCGAACACCCGGACTCCTACTCGATCGAGCAGTTGGCTCGTTTTCAATTTCATTTTTCCCCGATGCTCCTTTTTTTCTTTCCTTAACCTCCTCTCTGTCACTCATTCTGTAGTGATTTACGTAACACCGCGATCGAGAAGATCGTGTATTAATTACACCGGCAGCAGCTGCGTCGCCACGCGGCCCTGAGAAAAACTCGCGCCGCTCGATTGCATCTTTGATTTACACGCGGATCAACGAGATTACCTGGATTTCCGCTCCACGACGACGCGGTAACAACTTCATTCGTCTCGATTACAGGTTACAACTATGTATTTCGATCTGCAACAACAATTAACCCATCCGATACCTGACAACCCTTTCAGCTACCGCCAGGAAAATAACTACCATATCAGATTTCAAAAATTTCAGACGGTTCAACATTTGAGAACTGAGAACATTTCAAATTGAGAACTTGTGAACAATTCTAGAATTTGAGAGCTACAAAGCTTGGAGGTCCAAGAATTTGCCTAATTCATATACTTCATCCCTTAAACCAATCTTACCCAAAACCTGTCCCTATCCAAAAACACCTTGCAACAACCAGTGATTGATTAACTATCAACTGTATCTAAAACGGCCCAAAAAACAGCTTCCAATCGCCGACAAGAACTGAAAGTGTGAGGTGAAATAGCGCAGCATAAATACAGATGCAAAAACTGTGAAATAACTTAACGGGTTAAAAGGATGAAGGCGGAACAAGAATTTGGAGCACAATGAAGAAGGAGACCGCAGCAAACTGCATCCTTAGCGCAACCTTCTGTTCTGAGTCAAGGTCCAGCAAAAACTGGACCCAAGTCGTGCAACCTCAGCCTAGAGCTAATAGAGCAAGGTCCAGCTCTTAGACTGCTATATTCTTAACGCGGTTCTCCTTTGTTCGAACCGGGGAAGTTCGTACCTCCTCCTTAGTTCTGTACCGACAGGACGTTCAAAGGCATCCGAGCGTTTTCTTCGTGAGGCTCGTTAAGAGTGGCCAGCCATCGGACCCTCGGCTGCGGATCTCGATTCCGAGCCTCCTCTCTCTTTCGATGCAACCTGCCGGAGGAAGCGTAACAATTTTCGTTACCACGCTTCGGAGGCTGTACCGAGTCGAGCATTGTCGCCGGACAAGCGAAGAACACCCACATAGCTGTGAAAGGTAGAAAGCCTACGGTAATTTCGCTATTCCTGGCACATACTACGAGATACAGCGGATAAGATACTACTCGGATCACTTCTGGGGTAGGTCTACCACTTATGTAGTAAGTGGAGGCTTGGCTCTGTGATGCGGGACGATTTTCTTCTACTCGTGCACGAGATTACGATGAACTTTGTATGTAACCGGTTCAAAGGATGTATCGAATCGAAATGGGGGCGTGGCGAATTGGGGATGTACCTCAGAGCGTGTCCAATTGGAGGCGTATTGATTCGGCAGCGTATCCAATTGGAGGCGTATTGATTCGGCAGCGTGGCGAATTGGGGGCGTGTCCAGTGGGACTGGTTCGAATTAGAAATATTTTGAGCAGATACGAAGTCAATTCTGAGTTCGGATCATACAAAGTTAAGGGAGTATCGGGGCCTTAAATTTTAAGCGTATGGAATGAGAATATGTTAAATTGAGGGCGTGTTGCATTGTGGGCGTGTCGAATTGGCACCGCGTTGAGTTAGAGGCGTGTCGAGGGGGACTGGTTCAAATTACGAATATTTTGAGTCGATCGAGGGACGTTCTGAGTTCAAACGTACTACATTAGAGACGTATCAATTTGGGGACACGTCAAATTTGGGGCGTGTCGAATTAGAAATGTGTTGAATTCAGGGCGTGTCGCATTCTAGGCGTATCGACTCAGCAGAATGTCGAATTACGCTATCGAACGGGTCTGTGTCGAATCAGGAATATTTTGAGTGAGCATTGAGTCGATTGAGGGGCGTTTTGACCTGGAATCGTGCGGAATTAGGGGCGTGTCGAGTCGGGGGCGTGCCAAATTTGTAAAGTACAAAGTCGGGAGCGCCTCGAATCGGGAATGCGTTGAATCGAGGGCGTGTCGGACCGAAATCGCGTCGAATTGGAAACGTGTCGAGCCGGTAACGCGCCGAAGTTGGGTCACATCGAGTTGGAAGCGGGCGAAATGGGGGCAAATCGAGTCGGAGGCGTGTCGAATCGGGGACACATCGAGTCGGAGGCGTGTCAAATTGGCTGGGTGGCGAATTGGGAGCATATTAAGTCAAAAGCGTGCCGAATAGGAAGCGTACCGTGTCGAGAGCGTTGAGTCGTCAGCGCGTTGGGTTGGAACCGTGGGCAATTGGGGGCGTGTCAAATTAGAAGCGTTGAGTCGACAACGTATCGAGGAAGTGTTGAGTCGTGTTGAACCGTGCACGCAATCGTTATCGTCGAATCAACATTGAATGCTCGACGTGGCAACTTGTCATGAGTTATCCACGTGGAATAGCCAACGGACCAAAACAATAACAGTTTATCGATTTTCAATATTCCGTACAATAAAAGCACTCTATTTGAAAGTACATAATTTACGAGACGACTATATAGAGTTGGTATAGGTAATAGTTCGGTAGTTGGTAGTGGTATCTCGAGCGGTAGGACCGGTAGGTTTGGTTTACTTCAAGTTCGTTGCGGCCAGCCGGTTGGCCACTTTTCTTCGTCGTCTCTTCCTCTTCCTTTTTTCCTCTAGATTTTTCATCCTTTTTGCCACTCTCTTCTTCTGCCATTTCCTTCTCGTTCATGATCTCCCACCGCTCGGTCGTCGTTATTCTCCCGGCCTTTTTACTCCGCTTCTTCCACACGGTGTTTATTTTAACGCCAGACCGAGGCGTAGCAAAAAGTATCTGTTAAAATCGGTACCCTCGGCACCGCAAAGTCGATAACATCGACCACGGTGGGTACCTGGCTTCCGTGAAATATTAGAGGTGCTCGCTGCTGGTGGTGCGTCCCGTCCTCTTTCGTTTCAACCTACCCGAGGGAGAGAAGATTGCTCGTCAGCCATAGAACACGCTGCTGGCAACGGAAAGAATGTTGAAGAGCCTCTTTTGTAGATACCGACGACTTTGATAGAGGCGTGTCCATGTCGACAACCTACCATTAGGCTGAATAAGCATATCTTTACGAGATCTGGACAAACCGCGAGCCTTCTCTATCGGTTACGTTTTTACTTTTTAAATCACCGACGAATATTAACCCTGCTGATGCCGCGTCAGCTCTACAATTGCCTCGAAACAATTGCTATAATTTTACTGCTATTATAAGGGAACATTTTTCTATTAGACACGACAACCAGAACAGTCAAGTAATATAGTCTCGAGTCATGAAAGTATTAAAACTCTTCAGAGTTTATTCTCTAAATGTATCACATATTTGAATAGTAACAAATTTCTTCCCGATACTTTGATTTTTTCGATTGGTATTTTTGAGCTCATGGAATTATACCGTCAAGAATTCAACGACCTCTCTTAAATTTGAAAGCGATCCAAACGTTAATATGGAAAATTATTTAATTTAAATCGAGTTACGTACTACTTTGCCTTGCAAATAACTACAATGTAGCAACAGCACACGATACAGCCAATATACCTTGACTTTCGAAAGGGTTAACTATTTATGCGTCACATAACGATATAAAGAAAAGAACGCAGAACGCATCACTGCTCTATTATTCTGATTAACAAAAAAAATAATGAATGCATAGGACAGAGAGAATAAAAAGGAGTCTAGAAATCAAAGAGCACGCGCAGCATGACTGACGTTCGTCTCCCGTCAAGTATCAATTGTGACCGTGTTTCACTGAAGCAATA